TATTACTAGTGGAACAAGTTCCCCTGTGTTGGGACTCTCTCTTTTTTCTAAACATCCCCTATATTGTGATAAACTGTATAAAGGGGTGGGATTCTACCAGTTTGCACCTATTCGCTAGAACTGGTTGTTAACATTCTAAGCAGTTCGGAGAACTGATTGTTAGAAGAAATTACTGACCTAATCCTGTAAGAAAGGCAGGAAGGAAACATTCTGGTGTTGCTTACAGAAACTGCCTCTCTATTAACCCTTACTACATTCTTGGCAGGACTAGACTTCCTGTCTCTGGAATTTCTCTGCAGTTTTTTTTTTCCTCCTTTGCTGGTACTTTGCTTGTGTGGAGTTACTATTCAAAGTTACAATGGCACTGAAAAAAGTGACTTATGACTGTTTTTCACACTTATGACTGTTACAGCATCCCCACAGTCACAAGAGGCCAGGCGAGGAGATGCGTGCCTCCATGTGAGTGATATTGAGTTGGCCATGCCAGCCAATAACATGACCACCAAGCCTTGTCCACCCAGTCACATGACCACCAAGCCATGCCCACCAACTAAGCCACACCCACAGAACCGGTTGTTAAAAAATTTGAATCCCACCCCTGACTGTATATAAGGCAACCCTTCCTGCCCGATGTTGGGTCAACTTCTGATGTAATAAGAGATCCTCGGTTTTTCAGTTCCTGTACATCCTTCAATTCTCGTCTCCCCACCTTGAATGGAGGGAAGAATTCCTCTTTTCCCTGCTGAGCCTGAACTGCCGACTAGCAGCCACTCTGGATGCAGAAACTTTGAGACAGAAAATCCGACTCAGAGAGTCCTGCAGGCTGAGCGAGGTGGGTGGAGACAGCCAGCGGACCTGAGCAGACTCTGTTTCCCATCGCAGAGCACAGAGAGCAGGGGTGAAATTCAACCATCTCAGCCCACCCTGGGAGAGGTGGTAGGGACGATTTGAATTGGTTAAAAAAAATCACCCCAATCAGCCCTGGTTGCTATTACTATTATACCAAGCCACGCCCACAGCCACACCCACAGAGCCAGTAGGGAAAAAAATTGAATTTCACCCCTGACAACAGAGCAGCTCCTTCCAGCCTCTCCGGCTCCAAAGAGCCACATTTTCCCCCTACACATTTTCGCCTTGAGAACTGGGACCTCTGCCCAGATCCGGGAAATGGCATGGCACAAGGACTGTCCAAAGCTGCCGCTGCAGCCAATGCAGCTTTCCGGAAGAAGGGCAGGTGGACGGCACATTGCTATGGGGCGGGAGGGAGGCAGAGAAAGATCCAAAACGTAGATCTTCAAATTTGGGAGACAGAGCTGTCCTCCTGCATCTGAACAGATTAAGGAGTTGATATGCAAGTGGAAAAGCCGTGGAAAGCCATACAGAGTTTCCTTGCAAGTGGGTTTGCACCTACCGTAGCAAGGGGGAAGGGGCATTTATTTACAGCAGAAGCCATAAGCTTTTCACGTGAGATTTTGTTTTAAAAAGGATCCAATCACATTCAAAACCAACAAATTCTGTGTATAGATCCACTTGAGGTTTATTGGAATTTCTTTCAGGCATAAATTGTAAACAGTATTTCTGAAGTTCTGAATATAGTATCTAGGATTTTCCCTAGGAGTGAAACCACCGGTGTACCACAGACCTCTTGTAGCTGCTATTGCACCCAGAGCCAGTCAGGTTTAAAAAGAGCCCCAGTGGCTGGATCAAGGTGTCACCAAGTACTCAGTCCCCGATTGATCCATCAAGCATGCACAGATCATATTCTAATTCAGATCATCCCACAAATCACAATTTATAATGTTAAATAGGTGTGCCATTAGGGATTGAAATGGTATTCTATGCAAAATATACATTTCTTAACATATTCTCTTGTGCATTCTGTTCAGAGCAAGCACAGAAAACAATGTTCTTTTACTATGCCCTGAAACTAATTTTTTTCCCATAATAAGGCTATATTTAAATATGTAAGCTACAATATGCATTTTAGATCAATTTATAAGTGTATGATGCTCCCACTCCCCCTTTGGCAAAATTGCTGGTGGTGTTTCTCTGCAAAAGCTTAGATTCTCGATGAATCCTCGTCATTTTGATCCCTGTTGAGTCTTTGTGAAAAGATCTTCAAGGTAGTCTTTTTTTTCCCCATATTAAATGAATCATTTAAATAGGTTTCTATTTGAAGAAGCCTGTGAGTCAGACATCCTGCTAAACTTGATCTTTTGGCTGCAGATTAGGAGTGTCATTCACCAGAAGAAGCTAGATTTCACATACTGTCCAAAACAGTGATAGGGACGTTTTGGAGAATCAGCCAGGACTTTTACACTTTTCATAACAACACAAAGAATTACATCTTTTGCTTAGAAAAGAAGGCAGCAGAAGGGAAAGGTGAGGATGGGGAGAGAAAAAGAAAGGAGAAAAATAATACACAATAGATGTCACATTAGCTCAGGGGAAATACTGTAGAGCAACAAAAAAGAGTAGACAATGTAACCAAGCGTTATGACTTTTAATAAGTATGGATGGAAACAAAAAGACTTACAGAATACAGAATAACAGAGTTGGAAGATCTTCTAGTCCAGCCCCCTGCTTGAGCAGGAGACTCTATACCATTCCAGACAAATGGCTGTCCAGTCCCTTCTTCAAAACCTCCAGTGATAGAGCACCCACAACTTCCAGAGGCAAGCCATTCCAATGATTAATTATTCTCACTGTCAGGAAATGTCTATTTAATTCTAGGTTGGATCTCTCCTTGAAACTCTTCTATCAGTTACTTCTTGTCCTGCCCTTGGGTGCTTTGGAGAATTGGTCAACCTTCTCATGGCAGAGACCTCCCATTGTCACCCCTAATTCTTTCCTTTGATAGGCGAGACACACCTAATACCCTTAGAAGGTCGTCATATCACGTAGCCTTCCAGACTCCTAATCATCTTTATTGCTCTTCTCTGAACTCCCTCAACATCTTTTTTGACCGTGGAGATCCAAACATGTTTCCAGCCAATACTATCTTGAGCTTTCTTTTGCTAATTGGGCCCACAATAGTTGCTGATGTCATTGATCTGTCTTGTTCTGGGTCTCTTTGGTGGATGCTTTTTATCAAGCGGAATCTATTCTATGACTCTCTTGGCTACCAGCCATCCCTTTTTCTTGCTTCTAGCTCTGAATAGAATTTTCCAATAATTTCTAACATTTCCTGTCTTGTTCTGCGCACAGAGCCATCTTCATGTTTTAATGAAAAATGTCTTTCTTGTATTTATAAATTTGCATTTTGCTCTATTAATCCCTTTGTTTTTTTCAATTGCCTTTTTTACAAGGTTCATGTTAAACGAATGCATTCCTTCTTGGATACGTTTTCTTATGGTCTTACAAAGTTTAATGTACTCCAATTTATTAGTGAAACGATCGGTAGTCCTCAATGTGTCTTTTTTTTCCTTCATTAAATCAATGGTTTCATCTGAGATTTTTGACTGAAGTGTTTTTCCAGTGGCGCTATAGATACAGCAGATTCAAGGACATTTTAGACTATTTGTTCATTTAGGTCCGTAGTGTTTCTCTCTTTCAAATCTTGCAATAGAGCAAAGTGATTTGATAATTTCAAAATTGCTGTTCTTCTCTAACAGCTTATCCCACTTTATTTTTATTTTTCCTGACATCCTTACCATCCTTATCATTTTCATAGGCTCTTTTCGACAAAGGCTATCTTCACTTTATCTTGTACCATTCTATGGTCACTTCCAACATTAAAACAATTGATTACAGTAGAATTGCAGAGTGTGGATTTATCACTTGACACGATACTGTCAATTTTGTTTGTGTACCCAGATGGACTCTTCCATGTTCATTTTCTGAAAGTTTTTTTCTTGTAAAATTAGTTCATGATATAAGTTCTTGTTCTTCAGCAAACTCTACTAGTGTGTCACCTCTATTATGGTTGTTCACCACTTCTATATGGGCCAGCCACTTTTTCTCCAGGTTCTTCCTATTCTTGCATAAAAGTCACTCATTAATATTTTGTATTGGCATTTTTGTCTTGAAGGCAGGCAACATTGTTGTAAAACTCTTCAACCTCATCATCACTACAGCTTATAATTGGTGTGTAAGCTTGAATGATTTGAAGCTTGGATGGATGTTCAGGTGAATGATGCATTTGGCTATTCTGTCTGATATACTTTGAAATTTTACTACAGATTCTTCCAGCTTTTGGTTGATGAGAAAACCAAATCTGCCACATTGTCCATTCTCTGTACCTCTAGTGCAGAGTCCTATCATTTAAATTTTCACCTTTTCGTCATAATCTCAATGCATATTGTTGAGTTCAATCAGCAGTTGCTCTAGTCGAGTGTAAGATGCACGAGCATGCTCAGAGGCACATAGTGCATGAGGTTGTGCACTCATGCACAGAGGTGCACGGCATGTGTGCGGGGTTCACATGTGCATGCGCAGGAGGGTGGAGGTGGCACAGGCAGTGCATTATGGGTGCAGGCATGCGTGCATGCACATATGTGTGCACACATGCACTTTCGGCATGTGAGGATGAAAAGGTTTGCCATCACTGCCCTAGGGCCTCTGGGGAACGAGGGCCATTTTTGAGGTTGTATTGGCATGTGGAAGGAATAGACCATAATCTGCCATGCTGGTCTAGTATGGGTTGGCAGATGAGATTGGTGTTAATCTGGGATATCCATCATGGCCTATTTGCTTTGGGTGACCCTTCTGGACAGCTATACGTCTGCTGACATGGCCTACAATTCCATTTACCCCACATGAGCCCCTTCGCCTCATCAAGGCCCCGATCATAGAAGGAGCTTTCAGATTTGTTTTGAGGAAGAAAAGAAGGGATTTCTGGAAAGTTACATTCCAAGGCTTTTCTTCAGATCTTGCATTGAAGCATCTCTGGTACAGATGTTTTTCAGAATTTGTAATCTCAGCAAAAGAAAAGCTGGAAAAAATCAGAGAAAGAACATTTCTTTATTATTATTATTATTATTTGCATGTTTCCTATGTAAATATCATATGAAACAGCAGCTGGTGAGTGGGATTATTCCACGTTCATCCAATAAAGGTGGCATCTCATCTTTCTCTATGTTGGTTAAACATTCCAGAGAGGTATACCTTGGAGCACATCTCTTCGACTTCCCCCTCCAATTCTTCTAGCTGGTGTTGCCTCCTCCTATCTTCTATGGATTCTGTGACATCTGTATTCAGCTGGGCAAGCCCTGGCAAAAAATAACAAAATAATTATCACTCACTTTCATTTTTAAAACAAAAATTATTAAAATGTATTAAGTTACATACTCACTTCCTTCAGTTTCCTGAAGTTTCTTCTGAAGTTTCTCCTTTAGTTTGCGGTTTTCCTGAACAGCGTTTGCCATATTGCTGACTAGCTTTTTATTTTCTTCTTCCAACTAAGATACAGACATTATAAGAAGCACCCATCAGTCACAGAATCAAAATAGACAGACAGAAAGAGAAGCTTAACAAAAAGAGATTGTAAGGGAAATGAATTACTTACAGCTGTAACTCTTGCATTTTTTTCCTCCAGCTCCTCCTGGTGTCTTGCCAGAAGTTCACTGATGTACTCTTTGTGTTGTCTTTGATTCTCGTTGTATTTACGGAGACAGACCTAAAAAGTTAGATTTTTAACAGCAACATTAAACAGTATAAATCAACTAGTTGATCCTCATGTTGCTCTAACATAATAATATAATATAAATAATATAATAATAATAATATAATAATAGCATGAAGACCCTCACTAACCATTGTTAAGCAACAATCCTCATGACATCATTGCAGGATGAGCTAAAGCTGCCTTTACTTGCTCTGCTGTTAAAGTGATGTTTTAATAGCACTCTTCTTCCAATATAAACCTTGAATTCAATCTTATTTTGTTCCTTTAGAGGCTAATAGCCCCCAAATATTAAAAAAATGAGCCCATATATAAAATTTAGAAGAGGCAAGCAATGTTACAAATTAATTAGGAAGAGGGATTTGAGGGCTCCAACAAACCCCACAGCTATATGCTTCTTTGTGCACCCCAAGCAAGGCCACAGATCCATGTTTCCCAACCTTTCTGGATGTGGATCCTGAGGAAATGTTTAAATTGAAGATATTAACATAATTCACCAAGAAAGGGCCTGAAAGAAGATGTACAGATATTTTTTTTAAATATTCAAGTTCAAAACTAATTCTAAAACTTATTCTAAAGCAATTTTTGCTTCTTCCTAGATTCCATGGTAGGATATGGTGGCTCAGTAGCTAAGACGCTGAGCTTGTCAGTCAGAAGGTCAGCAGTTTGGCAATTTGAATCCCTAGCACTGCATAACGGAGTGAGCTCCCATTACTTGTCCCAATCTAGCAGTTTGAAAGCATGTAAAATGCAAATATAAAAATAGGGACCACTTTGGTGGGAAAGTAACAGCGTTCCGTGCGCCTTCGGTGTTTAGTCATGCCGGACACATGACCACGGAGACGTCTTCAGACAGTGCTGGCTCTTCAGCTTTGTAACAGAGATGAGCACTGCCCCCTAGAACCAGAAACGACTAGCATGTCTGTGTGAGGGGAACCTTTACTTTTACCTAGATTCTGTTGATTCCTGTTTTATGTCATTATTTATGTCACGTTACCTATCATGTTACTTCTTTGAATCCTAAACTAATCCTAGACTCACACAAGCAAGTTGACAAATAAATTAATAAATAATATAGAGGTTCTCTTACCTCAAACAGCAGTTTCCCTGCATAATACAAGAATGTTTCCATCATCAATTCAACACACTATACTTAACTAAACTAAACTAATCCTAAATAAGTAAATACATTAAATATGGTAAATGAACAGTATGTATAAACTAAAATAAGAGAAGTAAATAAGAATGATATTAAATAAGTTAAATAAACCAATACTGTAAACCTAAGCTACTACAATAAAAACAAAACCAAATTTAAGGAGAGGTACAGTAAGCACGCTCACAGAGCAAAAAATTCAGTGAATAGCTTTCCTTCAGCCAACCAACCAGTTTTATCTACTTCTGCTTTGTGACCTCATGTACCTGCCACACTGTTACGAAGCATGAACAAACAAGGAAAAGCAAAGCAAACCTGCTACTTAACAACTGGTCATTCCTGGGCATAATGCCAACAAATGATAATGTATGCAGCTCAAAGTTGAGCTGTAGAGTCCTTGGTGCTCCCTGAACTTGGTATTTGCTTACAGATGGTTCCTTACCTGACTTCTTCCTTGCTAGAAGGGAGTGGGGTTTGCTCCCTGTTTGCATATAGATGTTGGCGGGAATGAAGTTTTACCTCTGGTAGTTCCTTGGTTGGGTATTTCTTTTCTATTTGATGTTTGTCAACTAAGGGCATAAACACTACTAATTTGAAACTCTGTTCTCCCATAAAAAGGGTTTCCTTTAAGAAAAGAACACTAGAACATAATTCTTCTCATTTATAGAATAGTCTTGAAAAGGGACGATACAAGTCCTCTTTCAAGGTCGTATATTGGAAAAGAAAAGTCCAGGTTATGATGCGTAACCACATGACATCCCTGAAGTCAAGCAACCACTACAGACTTTAAAACTAAAGATGGTGGGGGGTTTCCTCCTAGAGTTTTGACACAAAACAAAGAAAGGCCACTCACTCCAATATCTTTATTAAAGGGAAAGAAATGGAGGGTCCAGTACAGTCTTCTGATTCTTAGAAGAAAGAAAATTGCATAAAAGTACCATTCATTGCTGGAGCAATTCATTTCAGCTTTCCAAAAGGACTTCACTCGGTTGAGAGAGGTAAGTTTTTTTCCCTATAGAGTTTGGAGAGTGAAGTGGGATACAGCAAGTAACCCAGGTGCTCTTGCCAGCAGCAGCACCATGGACAGTTCAGCACATGCTCACACAGACCGACAGACAGACAGACAGACAGACAGATATAGACACAGACAGCCACCTACCTGCTGAGCTGGATGGTCTTTATACTGCTTGCAGTTGGCTGTTCTTTTAGTAATTGCCAAGTTTACTGGTTGTTTCCAAACGCCCAAGGCAACAGATGAAGTAGAGTCCTGTTGAAATATGGCTCACATTTCTGTCTCCAAACAAAACTTAAAATATTTGAAAAAGCTAGGCCCTTTTCTAAAACAGCAAAAAAATTTCTTTCCCCTAGATCTCTGGGGAAAGTTACCTGTTACATTAATCAGTGCTTTCAATTGTCTCCTCAAGATGAGGAGAGAATAGAGAGAATAAGTTGTGAAGTAAGAAGGCAAAGGGGAGACTACAGATATTTCAGTGATTTATATAGATGAATCCTCCCCCTTCCCTCCAGAAATTCTTTGCTGAGTTTTAGATGTTTAATAAGGGTGACACTTTTTAATGTTGTCTTATTAGTGATACTATTCAATTGTTGCTCCAAAGAGCTAATATAAGATCCATTGTTTCTCTTCTGTTTATATTATCACAATACAGGCAAAATGGAATGTACAAGACAGGCAACGTGGAATGCAGGCAGAACCTAAAATCACAATTTATTAACAGTTGTGCTAATTCATCTCTGTTGGTTCTTCCTTTGAGCAGCACAGCTAAGAAGCTATCACCTACAATTTGTTTTAGGATTTCCAAGTTCTCTGCAAGATACCTCTGGGAGCAGCTAATTTCTGAATAGTTTATATTCTGTAATTAATTGATAATAGATGGTCTTCCTAATCTAGTTCTCAGTATAAATGAACAAATAAGAAAGGAGTCCTATACATCCCAAAAAATACAGTGACAATAACAAGAAGAGAGTAAATCTAGAGATAAGAGTCCATTCTTTCCATGGCTTATTTCAGTTTATTGTTTTAATTGCATGAATGTAATTTCTTATGTATAGATGCTTGTCCACTAGTAAGCCTTCACTGTTAATTAGGGTATGGAATTTTTTTCCAGCTACCTCTCATTTCATTACTTTCAGAAAAGCTGATTTGCCACTCACTTTTGCTGGACTCTGACTTATTTTCAACTGGACATCAGTCGGCAAAGACAACGTAATTATGTTTGTTTTAAGAAATTCTGGTTCTAGGGGCCAGGAATTATAAATGCATAATATATATAAGTTCACTATTCTGATTCTGCCTATGAAAGACAGATGAAGAAGGGAACATCTTCTGGTTCTTATATAATGTCATCATCTTATCTTCAGTAAAACTACAATAATCAAGCCATTGGACTCTTCTTCTCAATGAATATTAACATGCATGTTAAATTCCCAAAAGATTTATTTTTATGACTGAACGCAAAAGACACAAAAGATGTGTCTTTTCCCTTTGAAGTGATTTTTTTGAGATGAGTATTCAATAAAACCATCTTAAAACTGGGTTAAAGCTTCTGTGTTGTAAATCGTGAGTTTCTCTAGAAATGTGTACATGTCTTAAAGTATAAAGAAATCTGCTTTGTTCCTTGCTTTCACATTTTCTTTTACACTGAACCCATGGATTCAAACAAAACCACTATACACATTCTAATGTTATGATGAGTTCCCATATTTCATTTCTATAGATCCACTACTGCAGTGGTTCTCAACTTTTCTTCAGCATGGACCCCCTTTAAATACCTTTTGTGGCCATGGACCAGGACTATGGCCCCCTCAAGATTTGAATCATAACGTTTCTTCAAGCCTTTGCGGAGCCCCTGTGACAACATGCAGACACTCAGAACCACTGGGCAACAGTATTATATGTACCAAATTTCATGTGCTTAATATAAGTGCTTTTTAAAAGATATATGGGCAATAGAATATTTTTTTATTTTAAGAGAAACCAGAGTATGTGTACCCAGAGAAAAAGCAGAATAGTGGAATGTAAAAGTTTATGCCAGTTTCAATTTATGGATTTTTTTTTTAGAAAAAACAGCTATAATATTCATGGTTATCTTGTTTTAATTTGGAAGATCAGACAGTCCACCAACTTCAGTTTTCCTGGCTAGTGAGGCCACTTGAATAATGAGATTAGAGAAAGACTTGCAAAGATGCTCAGCACTGAGCAGCAACTCTTCAGAGGGATAATCTGGAAGAACAAAAACAAAAATTGTTATGCAGAATCAATATAGGTTTGAACAGATACAGTAAATGTCCTGCAAGCTTGGCTCACAGAAAGCAAAATATTTTCAGTCCAGTAAAAAGTTGCATACAAGCTGCTCAAACATAAAAGATTACTAGATACAAGAAAGCAGAGACTTGTAAACACTATTGCCTCCTGTCTGTCTCCTATTGTCTGTGTGTTGTGTCTGTGCATGTATGCATGTGCATGTGTGTACGTGTTCATTGAGAAAGTAGATAAAGCAGTTTAGCTACTTCTTCAAAATGTCATTCATTAGGGCCTTTCTAAAATCTTGTAGATTTTATTTACTAGGGTCATAAGGACACAAAATAGGCCTAGACATTCTCTGCACTTTGGCCTGATTACAATTGCCTGGATTTTGAAGGGAGAATCCATCATAAGAAATCGATAATAGCAACAAGTCCAGCCGAACCATCATGCTGCAATTAGTTCTTATAATTTCAGTGATTTTAAGCATTTAGCAGGTTCTAATCCAGCTACTCTACTTACTCCTGTTTTTACAGTCTTTCTAACAATAAGCAGCAATGCATATCTGCTGAGTAGTTGTCATAGGAAGGGCAGAATCTTATTTAATTTTTCTAAGTTGAACCTCCAAATTCAGGGTGTCCATAAACCTTCTTACATCTCCATTTGGACTATTTTGCATGCATGAAAATCCAAATGCCATGGGTCTAGACTCTATAGCAAGAGATATGCATCCTTTCCATTCCTTTTTATGCAGCCCCTCCATAAATTCATGCCATCAAGTTTCACTGGGAAAAGACAAAAATACATATATGAAGCCTCTGGTAATTCTAACTTTGACCATTTCAAGGAATCTCATTGCATTACTTCCGTACCTACTATTGGTGGGTTAAAATACTTTTACAAAGGGATGGCCCACATTTGTGCTGCAGCTGCCAAAATATTCAATGCAGTCCTAGGCTGCATCAACAAGGGGATCAAGATCACATGAAGTGTTAGAACCACTTTATACTGCACTGGTTACACCACACTTGGTATACTGCATCTAGTTTTGGTCACCATAATACAAAAAAGATATTGAGATTCTAGATAGAAAGAGTTCAGCAAAGAGCAGTGGAGATGATTAGATTAAACTGTATTAAGAATGGTTGCGGGAACTGAGTCTAACAAAGAGAGGGACTAGAGATGACATGAAACCAGTCTTCCAATATTTGAGGGGCTCTCACAGAGAGGAGTGAGTCAACATATTCTTCAAAGCACCTGAGGGCAGGATAAGAAGTAATGGATAGAAGCTTATCAAGGAGAGATTCAATATCCTGACAGTGACAACAATTAATCAGTAGAAAGGCTTTCCTTCAGAAAGTGTGGGTGCTCCATCAGTGGAGGTTTCAAGAAGACAGTGGACAGCTCTTTGTCTGGAATGTTATAGAGTCTCCTGCTTGAGCAGAGAACTGGACTAGAACACCTTTAAGGGTTCTTCCAACTTTGTTATTCTGTATTCTATTCTGTTTTCTGTATATATAAAGGTAGAGGTTTCCTTGTCCAATCATTTCTGACTCCAGGGGATGGTGCTCATCTCTATTTCTTAGCCAAGATAGCCAGCATTGTCTGAAGAAAATCCCATGGTCATATGACCAGCATGACTATATGCTGAGGTGCATGGAATATTGATACCTTCCCACTGAAGTGCTACCTATTTCTTTATTCGCTTTTGTATGCTTTCAAACTGCTAGCAAGAGCTGGGGCAAGTAACAGGAGGTCACCCCATCATGCAGTGGAAATTGGACTGCCAGCTTTCTAGCTGACAAGCTCAGAATTTTGTTGAGCCATCGTCTTCCCATTTTGTATATATAGGATAATATTGTCAATATGGCTTAGAACAGAGTTGTCAAACTCGATTTCATTGAGGGCTGCATCAGGCTTGTGTTTGACCTTGGGGGGATG